GGGGAGAGCAGTCTTACCAGGCCACAGAAGATGACAATGCAGCCACTCCTGATGTGATCTGATAGACTAAGATCAGAAGAAAGGAGAGGAGGACCTCCCCTATCAGTGGACTTGGGGAGGGGCATGCATGAAGAAGGGGGAGGAAGGGTGGGACCGGGAAGGGCTTATGGGGGGGATACAAAGTGAATAAACTGTAATTAATAATAAAAAAATAAAAAAAGAAAGAAATGGAATTCAGACATCCTCCTACAGAACTGAATTCCCAAAGTGATTCCGTGATGGATTTTTAGCCTCTCCAAGAGGAAAGATCTGAAGCCATCATATTTGCAGATCACTAATTACAAGTCAAGTTCTATCTCAGTTACTTCCACAAAGTCTAGTTACCAGGCTCAGGTGGGTACACTGAGCTGTCAATCAGCTTTTACACACATTACCTAAAAATGAATGAAGGATGACCAGGACTCTGGGGGAATATATAATATGAAATGCAGAGACCAATATAAATAGAGATGGAAACTGAAGGAAACAATATGAAACTTCAGAGAAGTAATTTGAAACTTCAAATTATGATTGTATAATAGTTTAATATGTGCATTTCAATGATTTTGGTACAGCAGGAATCATACAGGTCCTCAAAAGTTATCATCCACATCCGTGTCCTTAGGGACTTACAAGAGCATGTACCTCACTGAAAACAGGAAATTGACTAAGAAAGGAAATGTACAGCGTCATGAAGCCAGGTGGCCATTCCGGAAGAGAAAGGGGCTACAATTTCCCTACGATGGTGCAGGGAAATCCCAACACAATAGCTTCCATCAGGCTTGCTGCAGATGGACAAGGATTCACAGAAAGCTACTGGTGATAAAAATAGTCATGTGTGCCTTTGGTGGAAGATGTGTAAAACAAGTAGTGACTAACATCCATAGAATATAAAAATAGTACAACTGTTGTTACTATTATTTGAAAAAGCAGAAGGATGTGGCCACAGTGTACCACCTGGCTTAGCCTGAATGTAGTTTCCATAATTGTCCCGGTGTGAAGGCCAAAGGACCATCACCATGGAAGCTGTGATACCTGTGTTTTGTAGGGAAGCTGAAAGAATATGTAAACTGTGCATTCCCTATGTACATTTTTCATGGGAGGAACATAATTCCTCAGGGTCAATAGTAAGATGTGGGTGGATGAGACCCAAGACCAACTAAAGAGATGCAGAATAGAAATATCAGCTCAAAATAGTGCTGTAAATGCTACAAGAAGTAGATAGAATCCTAAAGAATAGATGCATTTGGCTTCCATGATTAGAAGTAGAAAAGTAAGGCCTAGCTATGCAATCTGTGACCATGTCAATTTTATTATTTGAGTTCTAAAACTGTGACTTATTTTCTCTTTCCTGTAGGTCATGTACATACTGTGGTGGCAAAATTCCTCATAATTATTAGATTTAACATGATATGAATCATAGACATAATTTCAAAGGGAGAAAAAAAAAACCCAAGCATGGGCTGGAGAACTGGCTCAGCCATTCAAGGCTAGGCTCACAACCATTAAAAAAAAAAAAAAAAAACCCACCATGTTAGCATATTCACAAAAATTTTAGTAATAGGTATGTTGAACACAAAAATTAGATATCTTTTATTTTCTGAACTTTAAAAAATATTGTTTACTAATCAGACATCATATTTAATCAAAAAACATTTTAAATTAGTATTTAAGGGAATTTGTATTGCTTGGCTAAAACTACCTAAAATTATGCAGGAGCTAGAAAAGCACACAACACATAATACTGTATACTGGCAGTGTTTAATCATTTTCTCCTTCATCTTTGCCTATATGTCCACACAGTAAGTAAAGGAAAAATGTTTCTCTATAATTAACAGCTTTGGACCACATGAGGGCTGTAGCATGTGCACATCTGTAAACATACATGCATAGTAAAGCATGTAAATAAAATGTAATTTAAGAAATTAACAGCCTTGGGTGGGGATGTAATCCAGTTGGGAAAACGCTTACTTAGAATTCACAAGTCCCAGGTTTAGTCTCCAGGAGCAACCATATAAACCAGGAGTGTGGCGCAAACCAGAAATCTCAGTACTCTGGAAGTGGAGCTGGAGAATCAGAAATTTAAGATTCATTCTCTGCATTGAACTGAGTTCTAAGCTAGTCTGGGCTACTTGTCACCTTCTCTCAAGGAAAAAGAAAAGAAAAGAAAAAAGAAAAAAGAAAGGGAGGGAGAGAGGGAAGGAGAAAGGGAGAGAAGGAAGGAAGAAACAAAAATATTACCCAGCATTCCCTGGCTTTCAAACATAAGCATAATACAACGGTTCCACACTGAGTATCTGGGAAAGACATTTCAGTACTTCAGATATTAAAACTGAGACAATAATTTGAAAGCACAATAAAGCCATGTTAAAAAAGGCAATATAAAGAGATGAGGGGATGTCATGGGAGGCTTTATTTTGAAATTTACTATTGAGCAGTAGACAACTAAATTGAAAATGAAAGTAGCTTTTTTTTTTTAATCTAATGATATTATTTCTACAATTCATTCATCAAACCCTTATCCCAAAGAGTATAGACCACTGGGTATTCACTAAGGAAACCTAGGGCTGGCCCTCATGGAGCTGGCATGAAATGCTGTGAAATGACAACACAGGGAAAGGGGCAGGTGAAGGTAGAGTTTGCTTCATATGGGGTTTTCATGAGGTGTTGGGGGTTGGCTACTAGAACAGAAATCTAAGGGAAGTGAAGAGATAACCAACCAGGCAACTATCTTGGAAAGAACAGTCTAGATAGAGGCCAAATTCAACAGTTAAGGCCTGATGTTGGAGGCTCATAGCATGATCAAGAACATGAAGAGAGGCTATCTGGGCCACAAGAGCAAAGAAAAAGTAGGGGTGGAGGGATGGGAGAGGAAGGACCAGCAGGTACTGCCAGGTTGGTGGGCCTTTGTTAGGATTTGGGATTCATCATAATGAGATGAGAGATCATTGCAGGATTTTTCAAAGGGAAAGTGATACGACTTCCTTACATGTGCCAGGCAAGGTTCCTACCACTGAGGTACACTCCTAGCCTCAACATGATCCTGGTTAGACTCTAAACCCATTATCCTTGCTGCCATGCTGAGAATTCGGGAAGACAAGGGTTGAAACAGAGACAAGCTAGGACTCATGGAACAATCCTAGTGAAGGGTGATGGAGCAGCAGTGGGCAGATAAGATGTTAGGTGCTGAACTTTTTCTAAGGCACAAACTATGGCTCTTGTGTATAGATGGGGTTATAAAGTATAGGAATTACAACTCTAAAACAAACATCAAGAATGTTTCCTAGAGCAATTAGAAATATTATTTACTTAGATAACACTGAAGAGGCCAGGAATGATTTTTCATGCCTTTAATACCAGCACTCAGGAGGCAGAGGCAGGTGGATCTCTGAATTTTAGGTTAGTCTGATCTACAGAGTGAGTACCAGGACAGCCAGGGTTACGCAGAGAAACCTTGTTTAGCTTGGGATGTTTGTGGGATTCTTAACTGTGGGAATGGGGGTATCTCTGACTCTTTTGCTTGCTCTTAAGACCCTTTTCCTTCTACTGGGTTGCCTCGTCCAGCCTTGATATAAGAGTTTGTGCCTAGCTTTACTATATCTTGTTATGCCATGTTTGGTTGACATCACTGGGAGGCTTGTTGTTTTCTAAAGGGAAACAAAGAAACAGTGGATCTGTAGGTGAGGGAAGGTAGGGTTGGGGAGGAGAAGGAGGGAAGGCTGCAGTCAGGATATATTACATGAGAGAAGAATAAATTTAAAAAATTTAAAGACTGAAAAGGGAGCAAGATAGGTAGATAAATAATACATCAATCTAATTCGGTAGTCTGTTAGTCTATGCATAGCTATTTTGATAAGTACATATATGTATATTTACACACATATGTATAAGTACATATATTCACACACATAGAACTATGTATATGTGTGTGAATCACTTCCCAGTCAACAACATATTTGTTATTCATACTCGTGGGTCTCACTTGCTTTCTTCAGCGTAGGGAAGCTAGGAATGCGGAGGATCTGTCTCTCACGTTTGAAGTTGTCCACACGGCAGGCCTACAGCCCTGCTTCTACCCAGGGTCCATCGGTGCCTCTGGCAGAGAACTAGCTTATGTAGAACCACTCATTCGCTTAAGCCTTGCTGGTTTCTGTCATATTTCATGATGGTTTGCTCTGAAAACTTATCCAACATATAACCTTTGTGCATGCAGTGATAGATGACAGTCTCTGAAGGAAGTTTATGACAATTTTGTTCTACCTAAAATACTCAGAATTGGTCTGAAATGCAGTTGCATTGGTGGCTATAGTTGGACCGTGCTTTCATACTACCCTTCTGAGCGAACACATCCCATATACTGTGGCACACTGTGCTCAGCCTGCAGGGAAGACTTACTATGAGGTGCTCATTGTCGCAGGACGGGTGGGTGCTCAGCCTCAAGTTGGTAAAAGTTAGGATGATCCGCCTTCCTTCTTGTACAGTGATGGTCCACTCGCACAACCAGGCATGGTAATTTGGGTTTGGGTAGTTGGGAGAAGTAAATGTGCCAGCAGGGCCATGTAAGTTCTCACCACACACTGAAAGACAGAGGAAAATTTTTAATCAAAGTATCTCTTTCTATAAGGGATGCTTTTAAAATTAGTTTTTAATGACTCATCTAGACAAAACTATTTGCCAATTGGCCTTTTATTTTTGTTACCATATGTGTAAGAGTACTCATTAGTATTCATTTCTTGACTTGTATTCATATCTGAATCCAGTTCTTTCCTCTATCAATATTTAACATTTGCTTCCATGGAAAATAATCCACTGGCAGCATTTAAATTATTTTCAAAGCCCAGAATGTATGACAGACAAACAAATAAAGCAAAATTAGGAAAGCTGAAGTCATTATTTTGTTTTTCAGACAAGATCTTTATTTTACCCAGGTTTGTTGGGGCATTTGGGAACGTGAGCTCTTGATAGTTCTAGGGCATTACAATGGATCACTTTTCTCAAGGTGGGTATAGCAGGAAAGTTCCATCTCCTCTCCACATCTCTCATGATACAAGTTACTTCCTTTGTGGCATTTATGCCAGTGATAACTTTTCATTAGTTGGTGACTGTTTATTAGCATTGTCTTTCAACTTATTTTAAGAGTCAAGAAGACAAAAATCACATTTTCTTTTTTAAATTGTTGTTATAACAGTGCCTAGCATAGTGTCTATTCTCCATAGGAGATCAGACCCTTTTCTAAGGGGTCACTGAACTTACCTTCACTGCTGGACTTAAACTGCAGCCTAAATCCTGAGGCAGTGACAGAGTCATCAGTGACAAACCTGACTGAAGCAACATTGCTAGAAGTTTCGACACTGCTAGGAATGGAGTCTCCACAGTATCTGCCCAAAACATTTTCTGTAAGAGTCAAATATTTAGTTAAGTGTAATTTATTAAGGGTAATTTATTTCTATTAATCTTCATTTAAGTTGTTTTGCATGGACAGAGAAAATAAAATCTTATTATTTGTTCATGAAGAAAATGGCAACCACTGTTAAAGAAATCATGAAGCCAATATATTCAAATATATGCAGATGTATAAAAAGTGGAACCAATCAGGGTGAATCTCAGCCTAATGAGGAAGGCTTTCTCACATGGTTAGAGAAAGGAGATGCGCTGTCCCTCCCTCTCCTCATGTTCAGGAGGCTCCTTCAATAACCACATGTGCACTGAGGGGTCTCCACAGGAGGAGGGTGCCATCCCAGTACAAGGCTCTTTCGTGGGCTTTCCAGGATGACTATAGAATGGCTATTTGGATTCTGAGCAGCCTTCATTATCTGTTAGAATCACAGAAGAGAGCTGCTGATTTTGCCCAGAACCCAGGAATTTACATTTCTCTGAAGACATTGGGTACACCTTTGCCTTTGTCAGAGGTAAAAATGCTTTAGCGGTTGAACACATTCAGAAGGAAACACCCACAAAGAAAGCAGTATTTTACTGACCAGAGGTTTTGTTTTCCAAGATCTCTACATAGTCTTTTGTACAACCAGGGGAACTCTGCAGGTGAAAATCTTCAAAATGGATGGTGAGGTAGTGTCCTGGGAGGCCCCGGATATGCCACTGACAAAACAAATTGTTTCCATAAGGAAGGGTTGGGTGCCCAGTGCTCTGGATGACTCCACTCTTTCCTGAGACTGTTCCTCCACATGGAGCTACAAAACACACACACACAAATGATATCCTGTTATGAATTACTTTTTTATTATAAGCTATTATAATATATGACTTTTAGGAGCCAAGTGAATATTAACAGAAACTGAAAAATCTGAAAATATCTACTTAAAGTTTTCCTAATTATTTGAAATGTACTGTGGATGGAGAGAAAGATACCACAAGCCTACCTAGTAAATGGATGATGACTGTGGAATGTCCTATTCTGCAATGTCACATTCATGCTTTTGGGACAGCACCCAAGAGCTATTACTTGTATGTAAAATTCATCCAGGAAGCAATGATAGAATGATAAGGCCTAGTACCCTCTGCTGATTATTCCAAATACTGTCCACACTCTTCTGGAAGGAGCACGGTTGGTTGGCTGGTGAGTGCTGACGTCCACCACTCAAGTTAACTATTAAATACACACTGCATTGCAGTGAATAGTCTAATAGGACTTGAAAATTACTATTCAGTTATTGTTTATCAGTTGGATAGTAGTTAGATGAACCTATATACAATTTAACTTAGGATATAAGGTAAGTCGTATAGGTTAAGTACTGTTAAAACTAGACTTTCTGAGCTTTTGCTGATTTATATATTTGTTTTGAGAGTATTCAGACCCACTAAAAGCTAAATTATATACAATATGTGCTATTATATACTTGGACTGAATTTTCAATATGTGTGTCATTTTTTTAAAAAATAAAGAAATCAAACAAACTCCAGGGGAATAATGTACTTTAATAGAGTAACTGTCTTGGCATCGCACATTCAGAAGGAAAAGGCCTGATCATTCTATGGATGCCACAAGGTGTTTCAAGGCATTGTCCAAGGACAGCTGTTGGATCACTAAAGAATGTTATTACGTGTAAGTATACGATACTTATTCCATGGTAAGAGAAAGAAACAAAGTTTCAGACTGAAAATATTTTATATACACAAATTAGGAAAATATAGGACACTAACGTTTTAATAAAAATCGCATTTTAGCATAATATGAAATAACTTAAAATTGGCCATGACATTGTGAATTTATGCGATAGTCTTCTTCCTACTATTAAAGTTAGGCAGATGAAAGGTATGGTAGAGTCTAGCCTGTAGTGTTCTCCTGCACCGCTTTTTCCTACTTGAAAATAAAACATTTACCTGTGGAGTACTTGGCCTTGAATCCTATGTAGCCGGAACCACCGTTAGTCTGGAATTTCAAGTACATAAGTTCTCTTGAGGACACCCTGCTGTGAGGCAAAGAGTGCCCACACAATTTGGAAAGCACCGGGGCGTTTGAGTCAGCTCCGTCACGCAATTCCAGGTAACTTGAAGAACAGCTAGCAGAAAGAAATTATCAAACTTACAAAGCCAGTTTATTTGACTTATTTTGTTAGTGAAGATTTTTTCTTCAAGGACATTACTAAATCATCATTCCAGTATTATAGGACAACACAGACAGAGTCTCTTTAAGCTTCCGGGTGTTTTCAAATGTCATACATTTGTCTAATGACAGTACAAGTTTACACGAGTGACTGAAGAAGACAGCTTTTACACTGGACAATAGTTCCTTCTATGGTCTGTATTTGTATTATAAATACAAAAGTCATTTCAGATGAACTGTAGTTGGCTAAAGTAAAATTTGTCAGATATGATAATTGAATATATTTTATTGAGAAGGATCAACCTATCTTAGAAGTCCCATGGCTATGGCTATTGAGGGGCACAGTTGCACTCTGTGTCCATAAAGGAAAATAAGTCTTCACTAATGTTTCCTAATAAGGTCAAGCCAGACAGACCATGACTACTTTCTGGAAAAACAAATCATATTTGGAGTAAAAAAAATCAATGAGTAGAAGCTCTCTTGTGACATGTATTCATGCAAATATAGGGTATTTTAGATAAATGACAAAGAAACCATAGGTCTGTGGGTCAGCTTTGAATTTTGCTTTGTTTTCACAAACTATGTAGCTTTCCTTGGTTTTTAGCACGATCATACATGCTGTCTGAGTTATGACCCTTCAAGAATCCCAACACAACCACAACAGGAAATTGTAGAGTGCTTGCTTAAGTCCTGTTTGTGGCACTGGTGGACTCTAGCACCATGCCACACAAATTCTTATTTGTCAAGCAGACATTTATCATATGTGACACTGAATCTGAAGCTGGACGATAATGCTCATATTACTGAAATTGTATTTTTCCTGTGGGAGGAAGAACAAATGACATAAATCTCAAGCAGTTACCCTCCGTGTCTCTTAGAGGAAGTGTTGAGGGTCAGGACAGACAGTGTCAGTACACATAATCTACTCAGCTGGTGGAAGTAGTGGCCAGGCAGGGCTTTGAGGCTCCAGGCATTAACATAGCTCTTTGTTCCTATATTTTTCTGGGCAGTAGGTACTGCCGAGCAGAGAAGAAGTAAATTTTCTTCAGACATAACAGCTAAATAATATTAACTTTGGGTTGGAGGAACATTGAATTCGAAGCGACCTACCTGGGTGTTTCTTCAATATTGAATTGATCTTCAAATTGGAGCTGTATGCTTTTCCCCGGAGGCGCCTCTAAAATCCAAATGCATTCAGCGTGCTGGGGATAATTAGCAGGGTAGTTGGGGGAGGTAACATATCCATCAGAGTCAGCACCATGGACGTAGATCCTGCCCCCACAGGCTGTCAAGAAAGAGTTAAATCAGTCTACAGTCTGGTGAATGAGGACATAGTCAGCTACCACAATTGCTGTTCACCACCAGTTTGTCTGTGTCTTTCCTCTGAGCTTCCTTTCATCCGAATTATCTTCATGTTCTTTTTAAGCAAGTAAATTGAATTTCCTGTAAAATGAGTTACACGTATGTTCCCTTTTATTCTATCAAAGCATTTTATTTACTCTGCTCTTTTTGCTAGGTCAGGTGTTATATTTTAAAATTGTGTGTAAGGGGGTGATGTTTGCTTATTTATTTGCTTTTAACTTTATTTTATTTTTACCTTATGGGTGTGGGTGTTTTGCCTGCATGTTTGTCTGTATACCACATGCATATCTGGTGACATTTGAGGCGAGAAGAGAGCATTAGATCCTCTGAAAGTGAGTTACAGACAGTTGTGAGTTGCCAAATGGGTGCTGGGAATTGAATCTGGGTCTTCTAGAAAAGCAGCCAGTGCAGCTGGTATTCTTAAACCCTGATTCATCTTTCTGGCCCACTTGTTTGTATTCTGAGACAGTCTTGGGTGAGCCCTCTCTGTCTATGCTACTGACGCTGACTTGAATTGTTGAGACTCTTACATCCTTCTCTCATGAGCTGGGATTATAGGCACTTACCACCATGCCCACATTCAAATTATTTATTCTGATTGAAAATTTTATTTTTCACTAAAGCTAACAAAATGATGATTATACAAAGTGTGTCCAGCCTCACATAAATATGTTAGCTAAAGTTCTACAAAGCTGCATGACTGATTAGAACTTCCAAGATTGTAGAGTTGTATTATTACAATTGAGCCACATCATCTTTGGCTATCTTTGGAGTCCTTAATATTCATTTAATGTCCACCTGTGCTTGATCTAACATCCATTTTCATGACTATTAGATAAATCCTGTTGACATATACTAATAGATCCCTAACTTCACCAACCCACAGGCTAGGAATATCATCATTAGCATCTAAGGTCACTAGCAATTTCATTGCTTTGTTATAAACCTGTTGCCTGTTGACGCCACCAATGTATTTGAAAGTGCCTTTGCTGTTGGTGCTCTGTTCAGGAAGTTGTCTCCTGTGCCAATGAGCTTAAGGCTTTTGCCCCCTTTTTCTTCTAAGCCGTTTAGTGTGTCTGGTTTTATGTTGAGGCCTTTGATCAACTTGGACTTTAGTTTTATGCAGGGTGATAAGTATGGATGTATTTGCATTTTTCTACACGTAGATGTCCACTTAGACCAGCACCATTTGTTGAAGATGCTATCTTTTTTCCATTGTATGGTTTTGGCATCTTTGTCAAAGATCAGGTGTCCATAAGTGTGTGGGTTTATTTCTGGGTCTTCTATTTGATTCCATTGATCCACCAGCCAGTTTCTATGCTCAATCTTCATTTAGAAAGGCAAACAGGATAGACATCAGAAGAAGGTGAAAACAAGGAACAAGACAGAAGCCTATCACAGAGGGTCTCTGAATGACTCAACCCAGTAGTGTGTATAAAAGCAGATGCTGAGGCTCATAGCCAAACTTTGGCCAGAGTGCAGGGAATCTTATGAAAGAATGGGGAGTTAGTAAGGCCTGAAAAGAACAGGAGCTCCACAAGGAGAGCAACAGAACCAAGAAATCTAGGCCCAGGGGTCTTTTCTGAGACTGATACACCAATCAAGGACCATGCATGGAGATAACCTAGAAGCCCTGCTCAAATGTAGGCCAGGGCAGCTCAGTCTCCAAGTGGGGAACAGGGACTGTCTCTGACATGAACTTAGTGGCTGGCTCTTTGATCCACTCCCCCTGAGGGGGGAGCAGCCTTACCAGGCCACAGAGGAAGACAATGCAGCCAGTCCTGATGAGACCTGATAAGCTAGGGTCAGATGGAAGGGGAGGAGGACCTCCCCTATCAGTGGACTTGGAGAGGAGCATGGGAGGAGATGAGGGAGGAAAGGTGGGATTGGGAGGGAATGAGGGAAGGGGCTATAGCTGGGATACAAAGTGAATAAACTGCAATTAATATAAAAATTATATGTACAGCTTTTTTTTGTTCTGTTACTATAAAAACTTCATGACATTGTTACGATGTTTTTTAGGATAAAGCTTCAAAGAGTCCAGGGCCAAGGTGTACCACTACGAGAGGACTACACACAATGAATCTAGGGCAAGAGGTTTATTGGGGATGTGGTACAGCAAAAAGACTATCTCAGAATTGGGACCTGAGAGAGAGAGATAGAGACATACAGAGAGACAGAGACTGAGAAACAAAGAAAATGAACAGAAAAGAAATAAGATAAAGGCAAAGAGGAGGGCGCTGTGATGCCCAGAGGGATTACTTATAGTGTACACGTGTTGCTACACAACTTTAAGGACTGTGGAAGTGTGCCGTACCTGGTAAGCTGCCCACTGCTGAGCTGCTGAAAGGCAGGCCAGCAGGATCCTAAATTTACCACATAATATTCGAGGAACATTATATTTGAGGATAACCTAATTCTGTTTTCTCAGGTCATGGAAATTCACATTTGGAGTCCATAATAAATTTTCTTTATTCCCTTTTGACGAGAGCCATGTTTCTACATCAGTAAATACGTCCCCATCACTTAGATGAGTGAGGAAGTATGCAAACAGTCATGATTTCCCGCTGAAAGCTCAGTGCAGACCTGTGACCTCAATATGTTTTCTTAAGACTAAGGGCTGGCGAGATGAATCAAGAGGTAAAAATCATTTGCTATGCAAACCTTATGAAGTTCAGTTTCTTAGAACCTTTGTAAAAGCAAGAAGTGGTAGCAAGGATTAGCATGTGTTTGTAACCCCGGAGCTCCCAGAATGCAACAGGAAGCAGAAGCATGAGAATCCCCAGACACTTGGCCAGGGAAAGTACACAGTGCAGAGGCAAACACAAGAGATCCTGCCTCAAAACTAAGGAGAACATTGAGGACTGATACTCTAGATGAATTTGTGGGTTGACTACTTTGGGGGTCAAACAACCTTTTCACAGAAGCCGCCTAAGACCATCAGGAAACACAAATAGTTACATTATGATTCATAACAGCAGCAAAATTACAGTTATGAAGTAGCAACAAAAATAATCTTATGTGGTCATAAGATTGTGGGGCTCACAACAACATGAGAAACTGTATTAAAGTTACAGCATTGGGAAGGTGGAGAACCCCTGATCGAGATCATCCTCTGACCCCTCACATGAGAGTGCTTGCTTTGGAGGCAACAGTCTTTTCACGCAGCCCTGGCTAGCCTGGAATTCACTACATGACCAGACTGACCTTAAACTTGTAGTCATTCAGGAGAATAACTCCTGCCTCTGCCTTCTGAGAACTAGAATTACAAGTTCCTTGCTCTTTTCTTTTAAGTGGCCTACTACTATTCAAAACATGAACTTTATGGTTGTGTTCAATTCTAGATGTTTGTAGAAACTGAAATCATTGAAGATATTTATTCTCCAGATGCAACTCTTGAGCAATCTTCTAGTTGCTTCTTATAACTCAACATTCATCCAAAGGTAACAGATGGGGAGAGAACATGATCCAGGGATACAGGACTGTCATGGGAAGAGGTGACAGTTATGAATGAATTGATTCTGAATAGTGACAAATGAGGGACTAAAAGTTGACAGGATTCTCAGATGATACATTTTATGTTTCAGTTAAAACTCCATGTAGAACTGGGAATCCCTCGTTCTCCTACAAGTTCTATACCCAGAGATGTCTTTTTTATAATTATTTGAAACCTATTACAGCTAACATGAAGACCTACACCTTCCTTTCCGTCCGTATCCCTCAGCTTCTCAGACATCAAACCCTTAGTTTACTTGTGGCAGCATTCCTCCTCAGGCCATCCTGTGCCTCCTGCCAGAGGGCTTCCCCACAGTGCCAGAGAGCCCCGGGAATCTTTCTGCGAGGTCTTCCATATTTTCATTCTAAAGAACTCCTTGGTTGCCCCATAGCGTTTGGTTTAAACCATAGTCCATTGTTTGATCATTCCCATACTTTATCAGCCCCAGCTCGATCTCTCTGCTCACCTCTGTGTCGCTCATTCTACTAGACACCTTTAAGGGACATAATTCAGGCATTTCAGGATGAGCATGTGTCAGTCTAGCACCCTGTGTTCACCTAGCTGTTACTCATGCTCCTTCATCCTGTCTCTCCACTTCTACCTCCAAGTGACCTGAAAATGTACTCAATTCCTTACTTATAACATCTTTGAACATGGCCTCTTTTCTGTCTTCTTACTGACATTGCCTTGGTGCACCAGGAGGCAACTGAATCCATTGCTTGTCTTGGGCCTTGATCAAGACATTAAATGGTTTTGGGGCAGGTGATTAATACAGATTTTTGTTTCCTTTTCTTTTCCCCAATGAAGAAATGATGCTGACATTCTGAATTCTCTCACATTTCAGATAACGTATAATAAAACCATGGTTTCAGTTAGGCATGGTGGCACATGCTCATAATTCTAGCATTTGGGATGTCAAGGCAGGAAGATCAGGGATTCAAGGCCACCTTCAGCTTACAGAGTGAATTCTAGGCTACCTTGAGCTGTATGAGACCCTATTTCAAACAACGTAAGCAGTAGAAATAGCAACAACAACAACAACAAAATCCCGTGGTTTTACTAAGATCAACATACTTTTTGAAGGGTATTCGAGAATCTGGAATTAAGATCACATAATCATTCCTGACATTGAATTTGGAGGACACGTGGAGACTTGGTTTTGCTGTTTATACTCCACTGACATTTAGTTAAAAGGTACTAAAAAGTAAATGGCATAAAAATCAAAACCATTACAGTATAATTAAATACAATTATAATTAAACATAATTAAGAATAATTACATAAAGATTCCTGCTGCAATATAGTAATACATGAGTAATAACTAAGAAAATAACAAAAGAATCATAGGTTAGTGTTCACTATAATGGAAGAACACAAATGATGATGAAGGAAGGAGAGCTTGGTCCTACCATGCTACTGTAACTTGGCTTGAGGTAGATATCTCATCATGGAAAGAGCTAAAGAATTTCAAGGCCCTTTAAGATCAGCTCATTTTTTACACATGGAGAATTCACCTTCACCAGTAACTGGAAAAAAACCATACGAACAATAACTTGGAAAATTCAAAACTTCATTTTACTTACCTGTAAAGCATTATGCTGAATAGTTAGTGTGCAAAGCATGCTCTAAGTCCTAGATCAATCATAGACAGTTGTTCTTAACACTATGGATGGCTTTTACCTCAGAAAACTTTGAATTTTTCCCCCTAAAATCCATCTCAACAAAAACCAAGCAATCGCAGGAAAAATACAGAATTCTAAGGGAAATACTTACCTACACTTTTTGCCTCATATCTGATCTTAAATCCTTGTCCACCATTACTATTATCAGAAATGAACTGAACAAACATTTCATTGTCTGAGGTGAACAGAGTTGATGGAGTATAAACTCCACAGAAGCGACCATTTCCTCCAGGAGGTCCCAAGGGTGGAGAACGGTTATCTGGCCCATTTCTTACCTGGAAAGATATTAAAGTTGCACAACAACCTTTATATTGCAAAAGAGAATAAGAAGCCTTTCAGTTTGCATACTAAAATGGTTAGATTTAAGTCTGCAGAGAGAGCGACTACAAAGAGTAACGAGTACCTACCACCAGGTAATCCCCTTGGCTGCACGAAGCGTCTCTATTTTGAATCTGGAAAGGCTGCTCAAAATGGGCGGCAATGGTCAGACCACTCTGGACCCGAATGTGCCAGGAACAGTTGAGATTAGGAATGTAGGTATCTGGGTACTTGGGGGATGTGATAGTCCCTCTGTCTGCATGCAAATAGCCACCACAGCCTTCCCAAGAAGAAAGAAAAGTAGGTTATTTAGATAATATTGACAATGAGGTTTTTCTATTTTTTGCCCCCCATCCTCCCCATTGAGGATTTTCTAATGTGAGCAGCAGATGAAAAATTTGAAACTAATTGGGATCAAGAAATGATTTGAGGCACAATCATTAAAAGGGCACACACTGTTGGACACTCAGTGTTGGGGTTAAGATCTGAGCCACAGAGTAAAGATCACTTACTTTCACAAAAGCTCACTTTACAGAGACAGAAGACATGGTAAACACAAATGTCTACTATGTGAAAAAGCAGTATGTCCAATCAAGAAAAATGAAAAGGTAAGGGAGAGACATACTCTGCTGTTGGGGAACTTAAGAGACGTAACAACTGAGCAGAGACTTGGAGGGAAAAAGGAGTCAAACTGGGTGAGCTTGGAGAAGAAAAACATAGCAAACCAGAAAACAGTATAAAGACTTGATATGGTAAGAGGAGCCTCATGGGACTCGGAATGAGGTAGCACATACAATTCAGTAAGTAGCTTGATGAGGCTAAATGGAAGCACAGAGGACTTATTCTGCATGGGAATGGAAAGGCTTTATAGATCACCTGTGTATCTATTATCTATCATCTATCTATCTATCTATCTATCTATCTATCTATCTATCTATCTATC